ATATTTATCTTATTTTTGGTTTTTAAAGGCTTAATTTCAGTTTTCGGTTTTTAAAAGATTCAACCAAAACCAAATCAAAACTTATTCGGTTAATATTAAAACCAAAAAAATAAAAGCCAAAAACTATTGAAATCGAATCGAATTCATTTTTTTTGTTCAATTTTCAAGTAACCCATCGGTTCGGTTTCAAATGCCCAGCCCTAGTAAGGATACTCCTAAAAAAAGGTTCAACAATAAAATAATTTGTTCCCTGCATGTAGCATAACCTGTTTTCAAGGCAGTTTCAATTTGAATGATCACAGGGATCATCCAAACATTCTTTTATGAAGTTACTACCCATAATTGGATTGCATTGAGAATAACAAGATTTTAGATTCTCTGTCTCCAAATACTTTTCGGCTTCATCTAAAACTTCATGTGAAAATAAGATTTAAATTTCTACTGCAGCCATCTATAATGATAAAAATTTGTAGCCAATGTCATGGACAGAAAAAAGAAGGCAAAACCATAAGTTAAGCCCCTGAACTAACCCCAGAATCGCTATTAAGCCCTTAGACTTTAATTGATGCATATAAGCCCTTGAACTCTGCGATCAAAGCAATTAAGCCCTTCTTCTTACGCAAACTTAACTGCCGTTTGGAACTCGCTCGCGTGGCTTCACTGCCGTTTAGAACACACTCACTTGGCTGCTTAGATGACAAAATATTGCCGTGTCATGCCTATATGACAAGGGATCTGACTGCCTCCAATCAAAACCTCTACTTTTATAAACCTCTCCCTCACCCTCACCATTAGAAACAAACAGAAGTTTGTAAATAACCGCCTGAATTTTTTTTTCAGGCTAGTGGAAAAGAAAAGGCCGGAGAGAAAAACGAAGCATTTTAATTGCTGGTTACCTCAACGAAGAAGAGGTCTGGAAGTGTCCAAAGCATCCGTCGAAACGACACCGAAGTGGAATTTGTCCTGTCTGCCTTAGAGACCGCCTCGCCTCTCTGTGTCCCGATTGCGCGCACACGCATCCTTGTACTTGTAGTAGCACCGCGTCCACCGCTTCTTCTTCTTCATCTTCCTTTTCTCAATTCTCCTCCTTCGGAGTCGGTTCCGTCGGTCGCGTCTCTAATCTCATTGAAAGTGAACTGGCTTTGCTGCGATCAAGATCCCTTTCGGTTCCATTTCTTCAATCGAAACCGGAGAATTACAGCGAGAGGAAGTATGATTTTCCTGGAAAAGGCAAGAAATCGCCCTTCTGGTCGGTGTTTAAGAGCAGGAAAAGGGATAGCGAAGGTAGAGAGGGAGCGAAATCGAGAAACGTAGTGGAAGAAAGAAGGACGATGATGAAAAAATGGAGGTCGATCGCAGCTCCGGTAACTTCAGAAGCCAACGCCGGCGATATAAAATCATCGCCGGCGCGAAAATGGAAGGGTTGGTTCTTTTCGAGTCCGATCAAGGCCTTCAGGCAGTCTACAGTTTCCAAATTGGTGTTTAACGTATACTTAGATTGTTACCATAATTATTGTTGGGAGTCAAAATTAAAATTTTATATTATTAAATAT